TGTACAACGGATCTAAGAGTCTTTAAACTTTTAAATTCACTTTTCTCGAAACTTACTTTTTGTGTCATTCATCTTTTTTCCGCTGTTCATTTGTAAGTGCAATTTTCGCAATTACAATTATAAACAGTAACAAAGTATTGATGCTTATAATTACATTTTTCCAGGGAAAATTTTATCGTACGTAATGACGATAATAGATTACGTAATTTTCCACAATCTGGCGCTCTAAATGAAAAAAAAAACACTTTTTCTACGTTTAATATTCATTTTGCGGTGCTGGGGTGCATGTAACTCCTATGTAAGAGATTTGTTATATTTGAATAGAGTAGGGTCCTAGGGTTAAAGCCTATGGTATTCGAAATCCAATTTCATTACTACATTCATTTACTTTGTAAGGAATGCAATTAAGGGAGTCCTATGCACTCGACCAAAAGCAATTCGTAGAAGTAATTCACGCTGTGTATATTTTTAGGGAAAAGCAGTTAATTCGATTCCAACTAGGAAACGAAAACGGTAAATTTTAGACTGAAATCCCAACCTATCTCGAAATAAATTGGATACGGAAACAGTCTAAGATGGAAAAGAGCGATAGGAAGAAGATGTATGTGGTTTGAGACGGTAGGTTGAGAAATTTTTCACTGAGTCCTTTCTTGGCACAGGAAAAGTGCATATTTAACTTGGTATACTATCAAAATAATATAGGACTCTACAGAATCCCTATGGGAAATGAGTTTTGACTATTTTTTAAATGTTTCCAGGGGTAGACTTCAAGATACAGGGTTTGTTCACGATGGGCTGTTTCATTATATTGTGGATACGGTAGACCAGTTTCGCAAAGTAGGCGATGGGACCCTACGGGGGGCGATAGAGCCTAAAGAAAATTGGAAAGCGGTGAAATGGTTTGGAGGGCGACGCAATCGATAATCTTTATCACCTACTCTTCAAATGTCATAAGGACATCCATCCATCCATCAATTTTCGGTACTACCCCCCGGTCTTTAAAATTGTCATAAGGGCAGACGTATTGATGCAACAGATGACGCAATTCGTGTTTGAGAACGTATGCCGTAGACGATCTGTTTGCTCTTCATTTACATTCTTATCACATATATTGTTCCTGGACACTTTTTGAAAAATTATCAGTTTACCTTAGCAATGTCTTTGGGAATAGATTTCGAAACTCAAAACCATTTATAGCATATACACTGAGAACCGAATTTGAGTTCAATGTTACACCAGCTCCTTGAGTTTAGATGCATGTTAAAAATTTAGTTTATTCTCTACGCTAAAATAATGGTTTTGAGAATACACATTTTTGAATTGTGAATTGTGTCAAATCTGTTTCGAATCGATTCCGGATCCTAACTGCGATCCATTTTAAATTCGCCACAAATTCCGCAACATTGCATCACTGGTTCGCGTTGCGACACCACATTTCGTACATTCGAAGGCAAGGTTCCCACCTCCATGATCATGGATGAGCAATTTGGTCAGTCTAGCGCTCATTGGGGGAGTGGCGTCCTGCTTCGAAATGGTTTTCACCTGCGTACACGCCGGCAGTAATAATTTGTATTGCGTAATTACATTTGTTACATTTTCCGACCGCTCGCTGCCGCAAAATGTAAGAATAACTCAAGATGAGTTGATTTTATCACCATTGGAGGAAATCAAATATAATTCTAATGTGAATTAAAACACTTGGGGCCGATTTCACCAACATTATTATTATGGACCAATAGGAAAATACCTTATCGAAATGCAATTTGACGGAAGCTGTCAAAAAATTCGACTGTATTATAAACAAGACCACTTTTTGATTCCAACATGATGCTTTTGTACAGTAAAAACAGGACAACTTTCATGTATTTTGATGGCAATCTCGAAATTTGTTAAGTTCAATATACTGTGTGTATATTATGAGATCATTATAGCTACACATACCTGTTGAATTGTGCGGATTGGCAAGAAAATAGAATATAAAATATATTCCAACCAATTCCTCATCTCTCTTTACATCATAATAATAATCATTTGTTATAAATTCATGGGTTAATGAATTTCTTCAAAGCAATCAAAACAGTTTGGACGTCCCCATCCTAAAACACCGATATGTGTAAAACATGTTAATCCCTACATCTCCGAGGTGCATAATGCAATTACTGTAGACATAGGCCTAAAATTATTAGTAATTACTGAAAAATAAGAGCTAAAAAGAATTATAAATTGTGATCAAATATTGGTGGTTAAGGTTTTTGACTGGTGACTGGTGGGGATATAATATAGGGATGGCGACGATAGAGAAAGATTTTCCCCAGTCGGCCCTTGACATCCATCGTTTCGAAATATGAAATTCCTATTTCAGACAAAAACAAAAACACATAACGATTGTCACCTTGACATCATTCTGCAATCTGTCAAAGTAGTGATGGGCGTGCCTGCTGCACGGTATACGGTTTCGATATTCGATAACATATTTTTCTTTCTACCATGAATGCGTGGAAAAAACAAAATAAGGAGATATCTAAAATAAGGAGTTATTGAAGGCCTAAAATAGCCAGGCGCTAATAATTCCTGGCAGTATTTGAATATCTAAGCAGGCACAGTAAAACAAAAATAAGACTTGGAATTAATAAAGTTTATTTCGACAGTTGGCAGAGTTTGCTTCACTGGGTAGTGGTGTTGAAAGAGTAATCATACGAAACTCGAATACTCGTTACTCATAGATACCCGAAGTAACGAGTACCAATCCGAGCACGAAATGATTACTTTGATTACTATGTTTTCCGTATCCCTACCCGGTACCTGTACAGTCGTTGATCGTTGAGGGGTAACGCTGGTTAGACTGTAGCACCACCGCTCATGCACCAGGGTTGCCAGACATCCCACATTCAGTTGGAAACCTGGAAACTCATTTAAATCTGAAGTTTACCTATTTACACCGTGACACAAATTCGCTTTTATTGTTGTGATCTTGGGAACCTGAAAAGGAATAAATACTCGATTGGATCGGATCAAAGTTCGGCAGTATTATGAGGCAGAAAAGCGACAACAAGGTAACACCACCGTTCAGGAAAACCACAATAATAAAAGTTATGTCAATTTGACTCGTGTTTCCATGCACTGTTTTGCTAAAAAAATTATAATTCAGTATGACCACTAATAGTATGTGTAAACCAAGAATTTTTTATACTGGTATATTATGCTTAATTGAAATGCTTCGAAAAGTCACATGCCATTTCGAATTTCCTTAAGCCCATATATTTAGATCATCTTTCTGACTAAAAGACATGTTTTTAAATATTTCTAGTAAATACAAAGTATTTTCAGTTTGCAGGCTCATATGAGTCATATGACACTCCATCCTATGATAACTCATCTCGATAAGCATACAGTTTGAAGATACAATGTTTGCATTAAACACAATAGTCTTGAATAAACTATGCTTATAACATTTTGCAAATTTTAAGGTCGTCTATTTTCTTGCAAGATTCGGTTCCATTCAACTTGTTTAAATTCGACAATCGTTATACTCATACTACTCATAGTAATCAAAGTAACGAATACAATAAACGATTACTTTGTAGAAGAGTAACGATTAGTAACGAATACTCGAAAGTAACGATAACCAACACCACTACCACTGGGACGAACTGTTGACGGATCCCACAGAATTGTGTCACTTGTCGATATGGTTAGTTTTAAAATATCAGGAGATAATCAGCTGTTATTCAAATAAGTGTATATATTTTTCCGATTCAAATAACGTCTAATATAAATATAACCCAGAATATGTACCCAGTGCAACAAGAAAGTTATTGCAAATTTCTAGTTTTTCTGCAGGTTTTAAGTTTGCCGGGAGGTTTACGACATATGTTTGAGTATTTGTTGATCGCTGTGAATTTAGTGTGCATGTTTGTTAAGTTCCTGAACAACGAAAAATATTCAACTTTATGGATATATGGGTATTAAAAAACCAGAATGGTTTTGTGGGAATATCAGTGTAAGGTGCCATAATGGTTCTGATGATGAACGGCAAGTAAATGAATGAATGTTTGGAAACGAGCAATATATATGAACTTTTTGGTAGAACAAGTCATCAAGTAGGTGCTTAATGGCTATCTGCAATAGGTTTATAGGAAAAAACACCCAGTAGATGATCTTGAATCAGTAAAATCGCATATCAATTAAGAAAATAATATTTTCATGAATAAAAAATCAACAATGGTAATTAAAACATGAATTTTATTCAAAAATCAAACATTTGTTTAAATTTTGACTGAATTATATGTAATTTCTTAATATTCAATAAGCTGATGATGTTTCAATGACAAGATGCCATATCATACTTTGACAGTATTTTGTTTTCAACATTTCATAGCTATTGGTTGCTGAAATTTGTTGATTGGAACTTAAAGCTCATTCGCTGTATTTGACGGGCTGTTACCCTATAGGTGGAGAATAACGGACTGTTGGTGAAATTGGCCCTAAATCGCATAAAAATTGAAATACATAATTCTAAGCAAAGAATTAAATGAAATGTTCGAACAGAGCTCCTTCTTAGGTTTGACAGTAACCTAACCTATTGTAGAACCCACCGTTGCTAGGCAATGTGGTGATGACCTTCGCTCTTCAGCCAGCTTTTATATCTTTCTAACATGTGTTGATACACACATCTCGCGCTTCTTTCTCATACACTTTGAACTCAAGCTCTCCGACAACAACATTGATTTAATACATTTCGGAGTTTTGAAAAGTGGCTATTAAGCTATTATGTAATTTGTCAGTAAAACAGTAGATTATAATAACCTTTAATTTGATTTCTGTACAAAGCTGGCGCAATACTGAAAATCTCATTAGCACCTTTTATGTCGGAGAGTTTTAAAATATATATATATTTTATAAATATGTTTATGAAATTTTGTTTTATCCTTACGATTCCTATTATGGATTAAATTTTTTCACTTAAAAACCAGGTGATCCTATTTTGTCGATTACGCATGATGGATAAGAACGTGGTACTAGAGATAGAGCTATTTCCTCATAGAATGAAGACAGCTGAATTTGCAAAATATGGGCACCTCATCTTGCCACTGGAGTTGAGAACAGTTCTAAGCAAAGTCTCGCGCTTTTGCAGGTCATTTTTGTTTTTCTGTTCTTTTTTCTCTTCTGCCTATAGTCTCGTACCAAAACAGAAGAGAGTAGCCATTTGTATCGGTAAAGCTGGTGCGTTCGAATGCTGCCATATTCAAAATCATGACGCGTTAGAAGTGTTTTGTTTCCATGTCTCGTCGTAAAATGTATCTTTTCCAGAATATAAGGTGTGCATTTTGCTCAAAAAGATACGTGCAGTTTTATGAAAGCGTTAAAATTTGCTTTTGCGCATAAACCGGATGTCACAAATTCGGCACTCGCCGTTGGGATCTCGCAGTGAGAGAAGTTGGTGAAATGGGGGAAACTTTTCGCATCTACGTAACTAAAAAAATAGCACTCAAAAAGTTTCGCACTTCAGAGTATTCCCAGACATACCTACATAGATAAAAAAAAACATGTTTCTCAAAATCATTATTATTGTTCCTGACGTTATTCGAGGTTGCATATCATTGTACATATGTGACGTTTCATTTCATATCGTCCATCATCAACATTATTTTTTTTCTATCGACGCCATATTGGCACAAGTGAATACGGATTTCAATTCTCATTTCAAAGATGTAATACATTGACATTGTAAAACCTCAGTTATTTCAAAAAACTATTTTGCAAGATAAGTGCAATCCATATACCCCTCCTCACTTATTTTTTGAACGCGTGAAGTTAGCAAGCTGAAATTCGGAATAATGAAGCTGATGGATAAATATTATATTTTAGCATAAAAGTGACTTGACAACATTTTTAAATATTATCATACCTCATTTTGAAGCTTCTTATGAGTACTTCATAGCCCTAAGATCTGAAATCACTTTTTCAAAATGGCGGGTAGCCGGCTGAAAAAGTGCAGCGTTGTAAATTGAACCGCTCGTAACTCAACAAATAATGATCAAAACGCGGTATATCAATCATCAATTATCGCATGGATCTACTCCTCTTAAAATAATTGTGAAATTCTATCATTATTTTAAACGGTATATCCAATAATTTAGTAAAATAGTTGTTGAGTTTTAAGCGATTTAATGTACAAAAACGCTCAACTTTGACAACCCGCTAGTCCGCCAAGATATTAAATATTTACTGTAGGGTTGAGAAGTTCTGATAACGAGCTTCAAAATGAGCAATCTCATGGCTCCATTCCATTTAAGAAAATGGCGCTCCCCACATCTTGTAATTTTCAACTTCTATACTAAAATATAATAAGTATTATGCAAACATCTCATCGCCATAAACTTCAGCTTGCTAACTTCAAAACAATGGTGACGATTTATTTAAACGGAATAGAGACATAAACGATTTTTTCGCGAGTCCACGGTGTAGCACAGTGCACTACCGGGAACCGATGCTCAAATTTTCGCGAAGAACGGGAATAGGGGAAGACGGATGTGACGTCGTCCGAATGTCAAAAAATCACGTGGTACGGGTACCCCCCTAACGTCTGTGAGGTACTAGAAGGTGACAGGTCTTATGTCAATATCATTTAAAAAACAGGCATCTCAATTGAAAATTTGTCTTCGCAGTGCTGAAAATTGAGTTAAATCATTAAATCATAAATGGAGGAACACGTCCACCTGATTTTAAATGACGAGGGCGAAGGTCATCGAAGACATATGAACCGCAATTGTCATATCAAATGATTGCTTTAATTGATATACAGGGTGACTTTGAAGTTGAGTCATTAATTTTCAGATAATGATTGTAGAAGGAAGATAAACCAAAATATGTGTGTAAAAATAAAAAAAAATTAAAAAAAAAATTACCTTGTTTTATAAAGTATCCTCCCGACAAGTATTTCAGTGCGGACCTGTATTTGATCGTGAGGTCTTGGAGCACCGGCATGCCCTCTCCTGTGAGGTCTTAAGTCACCTGATTCACGAGCCCGTTGTACTACATTAACAAAGGCACGAGGGGTTGGTTGCACTCGATTGGGAAACCGATCCGCATAAACATGTGCCATTTTTTATTTCGTTTGAGCCACGCAGCAAACACCACTATTCACTCACGCGTTACCGACTGACACATTGACTGAATAAAAACATCGTTTCAATTTTTTTCGCTTTTTTGTTTCCGATGCGATGAACCGATAAAGCGGATTATATACGTTGTCGCCAAACACGAGCACATAATATTATTATTGAGACAGGGCGGTACTCAAACTTCTAAAGGGCTATAACTCTGTTACTTTAATTTTACCACAAAAATGTTAAAGGAAAAAACATTTCTTTTGATCAGATCTACTCACTGTTAAAATAAATGACTCAACTTCGAAGTCACCCTGTATATGTACATTGCACAAAAAACGATCGGTCTTTTTATTTCAGATTCAAACAAGGCAGCTAAGTTTATCAAGGAGCTTAAAGCAAACGTTTTGCGCAACATGCGCCATCTAACCACTCCCGGTGTAACTTGAAACTGTCAAAACTTCGAGAGGAAGGGGAAATTCCATCTGTTCCCGCTCCGGTTCACTACGGGATCTCGCGAAAAAATCTCTATTGTCTTAATGTGCAATACGAGATATTCCGTTAAAAACAATTTTTACATTTTTTCTAAGCGGAATGACCCAAATTGTATCACATATTCGAATAGGTTTCTTCAAGATAAGGAAATCTGTGTACGAAAGCGTTTTAGCTATTGGTTGTTGAACACAAGCAATTGAATGTAGAGAAACGCTCAACTCAGCGTGCCCAGTCCGCGATTTGAGATGAGATACCAGAAACGTGTAAGCGACCTTTATACAGGGTGACTTCGAAGTTAAGTCATTTATTTTAACAGTGAGTAGATCTGATCAAAAGAAATGTTTTTTTCCTTTAACATTTTTGTGGTAAAATTAAAGTAACAAAGTTATAGCCCTTTAGAAGTTTAGGTACCGCCCTGTCTCAATAATAATATTGTGCTCGTGTTTGGCAACATCGGATATAATCCGCCTTATCGGTTCATCGCATCGGAAACAAAAAAGCGAAAGAATTTGAAACGCTTATCACGATGTTTTTACTACAATTTTATTCAGTTGTATTCAGTCAATGTGTCAGTCGGTAACGCGTGAGTCAATAGTGGTGTTTGTTGCGTGGTTCAAACGAAATAAAAAATGGCACATGTTTACGAAAATGCTGAACTTGTGGACATGATTCTTATTCTTAATCGAGTGCAACCAACACGAGGGGTTTGTTAATGTAGTACAAATGGCTCGTGAATCAGGTGACTTAAGACCTCACAGGGGAGGGCATGCCGGTGCTCCAAGACCGCACGATCAAATACAGGTCCGCACTGAAATACTTGTCGGGAGGATACTTTATAAAACAAGGTAACATTTTTTTTTTTTATTTTTACACACATATTTTGGTTTATCTTCCTTCTACAATCATTATCTGAAAATTAATGACTCAACTTCAAAGTCACCCTGTATATAGGCGTATTTTTTAATTCACCGGTTGAGCCACCCGTGCAACCAAAATTTGTCTATAAACACAAGTTTATAGACAAGTTTGGTGTACAACCGGTCGCCCAGACGGAAATGAAAAGAAGAAAATTGGTTAATTAAAGAATACGCCTTATGACTCCACTCCATTTTTTTCTTGCATCTCAATAACTAAAATATGTATATTTTTTTGTTACTACATTTATTTGAAAGATAACATTCAAATAGTAATTTTTGATGGCAATAGATGGAGCAAATTGAAAATAATATAAGAATAATCATGGGAATTATGAAATTCAAGAGTCAAAAAGTAATAGCAGACAAAAAACAAGTAAATGTGTTTTGACAACATTTATTTACAGCTTGTTCTTTGTTATCATATCATTTGCATCAATTACGGACTGAAGCCATCGTGGCATGGAATTTCTGATCTAATCTGGATCTGTATTCTTGAGTTTAACGGAGTAGAAATTATGAGAGAAAGTGGCCAAAAGTGGACGTGACCAAGAAATGCAGGATTCTTGAAATCAATTCTACCTAAAAGTGATAGAAATGAATTCACTTTAGGGAGTCGCGATTTCTCTTGGTACCGACCAAGAAAAACTGGAAAAATTAGTAGAAAATAGCGCTATATAACCTAAAATTGACGTGTTTGGCATTGTTATTGTCGTTCCTGCTAAACATATGCAAAAAATGGTTAATTTCAATCAACTGATGTATTGGAACGATATTCTTAACGACGATGTGGAGGAGGCGGCTGAGGAATGGGAGAGTGGGAGGAACGTTCTTGGGCACCAAGATCCTTTCATAATTACGGATCGAAAATTTGTACAGATGTTTAGGTTGACCAAAGATTTGGTGTATGAATTGCTGGAGATATTGACTCCATTCATACATCTACCCCCACGAGCTTCTGCACTTTTGATCAAAACAAAAGCAATAGTAGATATTAAGTTTTAGTCATTCTAAAACGGTATAGTTTAATCAATGATTGAATTTTCCCTGGTGCATTTGGGGTAGATAAAATTATAAGGATGAAATCTTGACCAAAATCTTGGGTTAGTTTTTGACTGTCAAAATCATCATTCATCATTTTGACTGGTTTAATGCGTTTACTCAAACCTGGCAAGCCTGTGTTTTGATTTCCTTTCTCCTTTCGACAATATTTTCGAATCGATAGAAAACCGAGGGAGTGGAAAAATAGAGGGAGTGTGATTTTCTGTTGAAGTCAAGAATAGGGGCACTGGTCCCATTTTTGCATAAGGACATCTTGTAGCAGTCGTTTCGCAGAAATTTCATTTTTTTCTTTTGACCTTCAGGTCCAGCAAGTACCGCAAATGTTCAATGAGAATGATGCTGCCACGCCTTTTTTATAAATAAGAGGAAATGGTGGGGTGATTCCTCTTTCTTTGTTTTAAATTAATTAATGAATTAATAAATTACTATAAATGAAATCTAAGGGTCGGCCAATACAAAACAGCTGTCATGTGGCGTGCAAATTTAGGCCCTAGCTCAATAAAGCGGAGAGTAGGCGGCGGTATTAAGAGCGCCCGTGACTCAAGACGGATTAA